TTGGTGAAGTTGAGGTCCCTTTGGAGGGCAAGAGGTACTTGAAGTAGTTTACAGTGTTTGATTTACATGCTTAGGAGACATCCTATTCACTTTTTAAGGTGAGAAACACTGCAAAATTTTAAGTTTAAAAAAGGTGGAAGACCAAGTTTTCAAATATCCTGTTTGCTTTTTTCCCCTTTAGATTGCATTGTGTTTTCTTATGTCATGTACATAGAAACATAAAGATTTAGAGTTTTTAAAAACACAGATGACTAGGGAAAACCCATTAAGAAAAACGTCTTTGGAAGAGTTGACGTGTCTGTGCCAAACTCATAGTTCATAGAAGTTTGTTAACTTTGTTCTGTGGCTTGCTCCCTCTTGCACACTGGGAGCTTCAGTTCCTGGGCCAAGTGGAGGGGGACAGGGTTGACTCTGAATGTCCTCAGTGAGTGTCTGTGAAAGGTGCCCGCAAGGCCCCAGCACCTTGGAGAGGTGTTCCCTGCTAGGCGGTTGCCATGTGACTCTGAGATAGCTGACAAAAAAACTCCCCTTAGTGCTGGGCTGGGGCACGTTCCGCGACAATGTGAAACCACTCATGGCATCGGGAGGCATCTTCAGAAGACATGTGTGCACACCAAACCACGTTTTGTCTGCTATTCCAGCTGAAATAATTGCTCGCTTCCTTTCCCCTTGCCACCCCTCTGTAGGTAAGACAGGCGCCTTCCCCCGAGACTGGGTGTAATCCACTCCCTTTCCTTCCTCCTCCTCTTTTCTGCTACCCCATCACCTCCTCCAGGAGGCCTTCCAGGATCCAGCTTCCTCTCTCACTCACTCCTGCATGAACTGGGGCTTAGTTGCGTTTCCTTGAATTATATTCTGTAGCTGCTTGAGATCTGTAAGTGCTTCAAAGGCAGGTACTGTGTCTTCTATTTATTGTGTATTCTCCACTAGGCCGGAGGACTTTTCAAGAAAAGCAATTTGTTACACAGCTGTTCCCAGGATCTGATAAAAGACCGTGTTTGTTTCTGCCCTGGTGTTTGCTCTATTGTGTGTACAGAGACACACGGCAGGCAGGGCTTCAGGGACCTGTCCTGTCCCAGCACGAAAAGAACTCAGCCCCAACTGGCTTCTCCTTTGTCTCCTGGAGACCCCATGGCCCTGCAGAGTCAGGGCCCTCCAGCAGCTTCCACTGCAGAAGGCTCACCTGTGCTCCTCTGCATCGATGTTCTGGCCTCCCAGGGAGAGGCAACATGAAAGGGACAGACAAGCCCCCCGGGGTCTAGCCCAGGGCCACACTTGGGGGCTGGGTAACACTAGGCAGTGTATTTAATGGTCCCAGAGCCTGTGTCCTGAAAAACAAACCAGCAGCAACAATAATTACTCCAAGTTCTCAGAGCTGTCATGAGGACCAAGGGAGTGTATGTGGGGAAAGATGCCCCCACAGATGTTAATGCAGGGAGACGTCCTTGCCACTGCACCCGGGAGGTCTACAGTTTGACCTGTGGCAGGGCCCGAGAGTAAGCTGAGCTCCCCTGGCCTTCAGGACTGGCTGAGGCCTACAGGGAATTCCCCATCGGACACACAGACTCACGGCCTCTGTCCCCAGGATGTAAGTGAGGGGAGGGGGACACTGTGGGCCGAATGTTGTATCTTTTTTAGCATTAAGGGAGAAGTTGGAGCTAC